AACTCGGACGACACCGGGGCCACACAGGCTAGGTCAAGGCCTCGGGAGGATCTCATCTTACGCCGTAGCTCGAGTAAATAGCGTAAGCAGCGACCAATTCTTCAAGCTGGAACTCGCCGTCCCCTCTTCGATCCACAGAATTTAGAAATGTGGGATCGAACGCCGCAGATCTCAGAACCAGGGGACTTGTCCGTCATCTTGCCAAGGACACGTGGTACGAAATTACTTTTCTGATCCGCAAATCTGGTTTCTGAGATATTTTTGCCGTGGGAGTACACTTTTCTTTTAGATTTCCTCATGTAGCAAAAGTAGCGATCTCTTTTTAGTATATGTGCAGCATTTTTTTTTTTTACCGATTTTTCCGATTTCGCACGATTTGCACTATTCGCGCGTCCAAACAATGCGGCGAGGAACTGAGGGAGAGGAGGAGAAGAGAGGGGACGGTCAAAACGCCGAGCTCTGGTTGGTGCGATTAGTGGGTAGACCTGAAGCTATGCGGAGCGCAAGTTCGTCTGCTTATGCGGAGCGCAAGTTCGTCTGCTTCTCGCGCAGACGTTGCGGTGACGTCAGAACACCGAGCTCTGATTGGCTCTGATTGGGAGGATAGTGGGTAGACCTCCATGCAAGCTGCCTTGATGTCTACCCACTATCTTTCACTCGGAACCAATCAGAGCTCGACGTTCTGACATCACCACAATCCCTGCAAACGAAGCAGACGAACTGCGCTCCGCATACCACCTAGAATAATCGAAGGCACTGGAATTTCGACGTCATCGCACTGAGATCGAGCGGAGAAAACGCAGATTGGAAACGAATGCTGCGTCAGTGCTCGGCTGAGACTCGTGTCCAATGAACGCGTAGAAGGACGTTCGGCATCGGGCTGAGTTGGCGCTATCCGACTCTCCCCACGTTCCATGGAGGAAGAGTGGGGCCTTGGTAGACCTTCATTATTCTAGAGGGTGTTGCGGCAGCCTCCCTCGCAGCCAACGAGCGCGATATTGGCACGCGGCGACGCCAAGACAGACGCGTGTGCGGCTTTGTCTCTGGTCGAGCTTCAGCGTGTCTGGGGGCGGAGATACACTAACGATGACGTCAAGAGCAGGCCTTGTGTTCTAGCTCGGTCCAAGCCCGTGTTTAGAGGCCTTTATTAGGAAGCGTTTCGCACCGCGCTCTGAAGCGAGCAGCCTCGCATGTTTGACGCATTGTGCAATTTGCGTTTCTCGCGCAAGACGGCTGCAGAATGCACGCACGCAGTTGCGGAATCCGAGAGTCCTAGAAGGAGCAGCGAACGGCGTCAAATTCATTTTTATAAATCTGGAATCTGGCTTTGAATTCGCAAGAACGCTAACCTCAGTCCGTTACTCGGAGACGTCACGGCAGACAAAGCTGCAGCGACTGCTTTGAGCGCGCGAGTTCAGAAGCTTCTCATAAAAGGCCAGATCTCCCTCAGTCTCATCACACAAACAGATGTACACCGGAAGCGTCCGACAAACGACCTCGTATATTCTATTCTGGCCATGAGACGTAATTTGCAACCTCGCGCCAGGCAAGTTGGAGAAAGTTTGGCAGCCGTTGTGGAATTGACGGTGGCATCGCCGAGTGTTTGCGCGTGTTTCTGTTTCGTCCTCTTTCCCCTCTCCTCGATGGTCAGGAGGCGCACAAACGGCCCCACACGGTCCTGCCGTCAAGCTTCTCAGCGCGGGCCACAAAGGAGTCCAGTGAACCTTCGTCGGCGCAAGTGCCGTCATCGCAAGCCGGAATGCACGAAAAGTCCGAACCTCGGTGGCTCTAGTAATCAAGTTGTTTTCGAAGGTCCTATACCGCGCCGGCCGCGCGCTTCAAATGTGTACTTCAGAGTGACAGTATGGGATCCGAATGAAGGCTCAAACACATGTGCGAGAAACCACCCGAAAATCGGACGGAAATCCGAAGGCACGCAAAAAATTGCCTCACGCTATTTCTGAAGAACGGCCATACGTACTGCACACAGAATGCGTATATGGCTTCGTTAAGGTTACGTTCTCAATTTCAATACTGCAAATCGTAGCTTTTTCTTTCTTCTGAAAAATGGCGTGGAAGTATTTTTTTTAGGTTCTGATTTTCGTGCGTTTTTCGGTTGGTTTTTCGCACATATTTTCCAGACCTTATCACTCAAATCATTCTACAAAAAGGCAATGTGATCAGAGCTTCAATCAATTAAAACTGTTCCTCATTTATATATATAATATACTATTATTATTTCCGAATTGCACCGGTTTTGAATGAACTGACCACTTTCCTAGTATGTCTGTTAATTTAAATGAGGATGAAATTTCTTTTTGAAATAAGTCCGCATTAATCGATCCCTAATTGATATCCAGCGTTTATTTTTAATTTTTAATTTGCCATGCTATCAGTCATATTTATGACTTCGACAGGAGTGGCAACAAGTTACACTTTTAAAGCAACAAACAATATAACAACAACAGCACGAAAACAAAACACAACGCAAGGAACAAAAAAAAAAGTATGTGCAGTAATTCGGTTACGTCCAGCTGGGAGAGGAATAATTCAAGATCAGACGAAGATACAACGTGTTCTGGCGAGAGATTCCGGTCCCGCACCTTACGGGGAAAAAAAAAAAGAGTACTTAAAGCAATCTTTATTGAACGAAACTTCCTGTCACGCAAATGCTTGTTACGGTTGGTGCGTGATTGATGAGAATTAAGATTACGCGGTTGGTCAATGAGCAATGAACCAGAAAGTATAACGAAGAAAAGCTTCGACCGTTTGTTTTCCCGTCTAGTCTGAAGCAAGAATCGCTAAAGAATGAATCTTTAGGAAACTGAAGAAATCTTTCCCAGCAGACCGTGATCTCCTTTCGACGAAAGAAAGTTGATAGGGGTCCCATCATTTGTTCCGGAGTTAGGACGTGACTTGAAAGTTTCTCATAGGGGATGCGTCGGATACAGATATTGGAGCCGAGAAGTTTAAGAGTTTCCATCTGGCGGGGTTTCTTGGCGACCCAAAGTGGAGTGGCTCCAACCTCTCAAAAATCCCATTCCACGTATCCCTCTCCCCAAGCGCCAGGTAGCGCCTCTGAAGAGAAGCCCACATCTCTCCTGGCTCTCCATTTTCTCGACACCACAAACTACACAAACCACCGCTGTTATGATCGAGCGCAAGATAAGTGCTGTGCCAGTGTTCCATCTACTACCAAATGAAAGCATAAGCGCGTGAGCACAGCAGTGCGTCGAACAGCCAAAGTATTTTTTTGGCGCCGGGTTATGTGCATGAAATATTAAAAGCCCTCTAAAGTTATCTACTAGATAACAGAAAGTATAAAACAGAGAGAGGACGAAACGCAGACGAGTACATTCTTTCAACATTATTTCGTCCTCTCTGTTTTATACTTTCTGTTATCTAGTACATCTTACCAACACGCTCGTTAGAAATATAATACCTCTAAAGTGAGCATCGCTGAAGCGCTTGGGGCCTGCTTCTTGCCGCGACTAAACTTATATATATATATATTATACTAGTAGAAGGAAATGTTCGTTGTTAATGTTACGAACGAACCACTGAATTTCCGTCACAAATAAAAATAAAAAGGTGAGGACAAGTGAGAATGAATGTTCATCTTGGCAACGTTCTCCGTCCCTACTTGTACGTTTTAGTTTGTAACTGAACGAGTCATCTTCAAATGCGGGCTCGAATCAGCTTTTCGTCGTCGTAATCGGGAGGTACAAAATTGGGACGCGATTGCAACCCCTATCTCAAAATGCCAACTTTTGTTTTTCCTTTCATTAGCATTATTTTTTTGCGACTAAAGCTTCAAGAAACGTTGAACCGCGACAAAGTAACGGGGTAGCGAAATCTGCACGAGCTCCAACAAATTGCAGCTTCACTTTTCATTGGCAGAAGCTCGCACTTGTGTCAGCGACCGCGGCGGGGTGTGGCTGATTACCTTGACTGGTTGTTGTCATCGACGAAGGGCGCAACCTCGAAGGCGTGACAATCGGATGCTGACTACTCGACAAGCTCCGCATTTCTTCGCTTGTCAGGGACTGTGGTAACCTGCTAACTGTTCGGTCAGCACAAAACTATTGACGTATGAATCAGTTATCCGACCACTGTTGCAATATGCATGCGTAACCTGGGGGGGGGACCCTCGCACTGTTTGAGATGTGCTTAAGCTAGAAAGAGTGCAGCGGCTCGCCCTTACGCTTCATTTTTTTCTAAATATCGTCGATTGGATGCCTTGACGGCTTTGTCTACACTCAAGCTAAACTTTCGCTGCTCAAGGCTCGACGTAAAGAAAACGACTTTACAGTGTCCGCGATTCTGACCCGGTTGCGCACGTGTCGGCTCCGTCATTTTATTGCTTTTTCTTTCCTTAAGCCAGAAGAAGCTGTATAGCATCGACGGCCTCATTTTTGTTATGTTTTTCTTTCTTTTTTTTTTTTCTCCAGTGTGTATAGTTTTTTTGTTTTTTTCTTAACGTATTGTATAAAACTGCCCTCCCCATCATAGTCCCATGTGGGACTGATAGTATTTTGAAATAAATAAATAATAAATAAATAACACTATAAACATTTTAAGGACAGACCCCGACTGGGTCAAACATTCTACAAATGACATCACTGCAGACTTGATGAGAGAATTATCTATGAGCAGGCCTCAAGAATGTGTGAAGCACAATTGCTTCATGCGTGCTTCGAACTTGTCTGCATAGAGTTTTTGTATGACCACAGGACCGTCCCACGAGGAAGTCCTCGAGCAATGTCAACGGACTGTCTCTTGTACGTTATAGTAGCAGTGTGAGCGCGGGTTAAGATCACCGAGTCGCGAAAATCTGCCGCAACTGATGCAAATGGTCTAGAATCTCCGACCGATTCTGGGCCATGTCACGCGAGACGTCATCGAAGAAAATGCCCCGATCCTTCGCTGTATGCGAGTATCGGCCGAGTATCGAGTTAGTTCCCAAGCTTAATTTCGTTCCGAGAATAGGCGCAACTCACCGGGAATCATGCAGGGAGCTTCCCTTCGACGCCTCCGTGCACGATGAGACGTGGTTACGGCGCCAAGATTCCGGGTGCCGACGTGGTTCGAACAATCCGGGGCCTCGAGGCGCTCACCATTCCGCGCGCGAGGACGACGCGCACCTTGGCACGAGGTTACGGACGACGGCGGCACGCCGCCTAATCCTCGGCGGAAAGAAATCACCGCGTGCATCTCCGACGACGTGCCTTCTTCTTCATTGTGCCGCCGGTCTTGCCGACGTCGTACCTGGATTGATCCCGGGAGAAACAGGCGGCAGCACGAAAGGAGAGACTCCTCCGGAGCGGGGTCAGAAAGAAATCCCGAACAGTGCACCGCCGCCGACTGTCTGGCCGCCGCTGCCGTGCGGCGAAAAAGTTGCGCGCGCTGTGCCGCCACCGCCGTCGAGTTTGCTCGGGGCCGGTCTCTCATTCATGGCGATTGCTCCTCTCCCGCTCGCCACCAATGGACGCGGGGCTCTTCGGTGACGTCACGGGCGGCCCGCCTCTTCATTGGCAGCCGGATTTGTGAGGGAGAGAGAGAGAGAAAAAAATTGGCACTCGGGGAATGTCTTTCGTTTATTTGTTAGCGATTCTCGCGTCGGCTGCTTTTTGCCAATTGTTCGGTTCTCGAAAATGCCGCCGTTTGACCGAGAGGCAACGCGAAGCTGGCGGCTGCTCCAGGGAAGAATGAGTGCAATTAACATTCTAATTATCGTTCGCGCTCGACCCGCGCTGCGCACTCTCGGATGCGCGTGCGCATTACTGCCCCAGAATGACCTCGGACGACGAGTCTTTAATGTAACTTTAATCAGTTCCAGCATCGACTACAACGGTGCACATCACGCTCCGTTAACTTGCGGCGTCAGTGGCAAAAAGGTGTGGACGCGACTTCTTGCCATTGAGGCTGCATGACCGCCTGAACATGGGGGTGATGGGAAAAAGTAAATGCAGGGTTCTTGAATCGGCATCGAGAACCAATAGGGCGTCTCAGGCCGTGGAGGGTCATCGCGACGCATAAGCCTTCCGGCGGAGACAACGATGCTGAGAAACCTTCGCCAATTAAAGCAACCTCCTCCCCCCCCCCCCTTCCCCCCCCCCCCCCCCCCCCCCCTCGGGTCCTCCACAAATGTCGACAGTGTCAAGTTTCAAGTTTATTTTCGTACAAAAAGAGAGAAAAGAGCGAGAAAAACAGTACAAAAGCTGCTTGACAAAGCCCCTTGCTCCCCTGCAGCAACAGCGTTAGCAGCACTTTATTGAAAGAACAAAGGTAAAACATGTTTTGTACACACAGTTATCTCGGTATGCTTCATGTGACAAAACAAGTAGCGATAATACAGCAGTCCGTGGAACACGTTCAGTGCAAATACTTAGTGGCAAAAAATAGTTTAACACTATGGGGAGCTGATGCTAATCATCTGATCTCCGTAGTTGGTTCTGGAGCGCGGGACCGTCCAGACATTGGCATGGCTCTAGCTTAGGGTTTCCGTGGCTAGCGCCTGGAAGGACCGATGAACCACATCGCTCTACATAGAGCCACTAAATGAGCTACGCTTGGCCTAGCGACACTCTGTACCCCGATATTGTTGTGGGCGCCGCCATCCTGGTGCTTCGTACAGAGCAGACGCAACTGCCGATCCTTATCATTCAAAAGTGCGACTTCCTCAGCATTAGAATCGGTGTAAGGAAGCTCATGTAATAGTGCTTTGCTCTGTCTCGAGCTGTTTGGAGGACAGAAGAGCGGTTCCTGTGACTTCACATAAAGCTTAAAATTGGGTAAGTTTGGTTACTCTGAAGCTTAGCTTATTCCGTGACTCGAGCTATACAGTTCAGGGCACAATCGCACCACAAACACGGTCGCGCACATTGTAGTCAGAGGCTCAGACGCGTGAAAGAATGTGTGCTAGCTTGCTTGGAACTGAGTGAACGAAAGCCTGCCAAGCCTGGGTCGCGCGAGCGCTTGGGACTACTTGACGTGTCACCCAGCTGGTGTGCCGGCTGTGGCTGTTCTTTCTTTCAAACAGAACTGAGACGCCAACTCTAGAGCCACTAAATGCGTTACACTTTAAAGCAGGGGTCCCTAAACGTCTTCGTTAAGGGGCCGGCATCTGTCGCACAACAAAAATGAATGCGTTAAAAATAAAGAAAAAACCTAAGTTGGATTAATCTTTTAATCTTAAATTTAACATTCAGCTAATCATGACGTTACACAACGACCGCGAAAACAACTCAAAACGCGTGTAAACGCTTTCGCGCAGTGAAGTACTAATGAGAATTACCACAATGTACGTGAGAAGGAAAAAAAAAAAAACAGACATGAAAGAGGGAGATGTTGGTGATGTTCAGTCATGGCAAGAGAACCCCGTTACATTGGTCTTGTTCTTTCTTTTTTGCGCATGTCGAAAGCGTCGCGGCGCCGTTTCTCTTAGATGCACATCTTTTTGCGCCGGTGGAACCGGGTCTCCTGAAAGCGGGCAAAGCCTCATGGGAAGGTCCGTTGCCAGACGGGGGCCGGTGGGAAGACTTCAGCGGGCCGCCTCTGGCCCGCGAGCCGGGCTTTGGAGACCCCATCTTTAAAGTAACGACATTCCAGTCATCTCGGTGCTTAAAATCACGCTGGTAATTTATCTGAAGCTTTATCTGAAATCGCAGGAGACGCTTTTCCGTCCTCCAGATACGTTAAAACAGTTCGCGACAGAGCAAACGACGTCATCTGAGTTTCCTAACACCGCATCTAAAACTGAGGAAGTCGTCTTTTTGAATTGTGACGATTGACAGTTGCGTCTGTTCTGCACTAAGCGTCAAGATGGCGGCGCCCACTAGCAGATGGGAGAGCGGAACTTAGCTCATTTCGTGACTCTAACTTATTTAATTCCCAACTTTCAGAAATGGTGATACCGCGGCGTGAGAATCATCCTTCCTAGCTCCTGGATAATTGGTTTCAGAATAAAAGTGCTTTCCTACACCTTCCTGATGTGAAAAATTAAAGTAAGGCTCTAATACCATTACTTACGCGTCGCAGACCCAGCCTCGTACTACTGTTATACGACGATCATTTAGAAGACAGCCATTTTGATAGGCGACAGCGGGCTTTTCGTTCACCCTTAAGGCCGGTTCACACATACAGCGGAGCGCTAAGATAGCGCTACGTGAGCGCTCCAAGGAGCGCTCATGTGGCGCTTCCTGGCGCGTGATGTAGCGCTCTGTTAGCGCTGCAGAAGCGCTTTGTTAGCGCTCTGTTAGCGCTACAGAAGCGCTCTGTTAGCGCTTCAGAAGCGCTTTGTTAGCGCTCTGTTAGCGCTCTCACGCCCCTTGTGCCGTGCTTGCTGCTGCGGAATAGCGCGGGCACGGTGATTCCTTGGTTGTTGTTTTTCCTTTGGCATTGAAAGAAGAGGAAGTAAAAGAGCCGCTCTCTAAGCAGAGGGTCGGGCAGGCGACCCAGAGTTATGGACTCTGGGCGACTAATTTATTGGGTACGACCTCAGCTTTCCATTCGATATGTGTGACGCTGGTTGTAAGGACACGCAGGTAAAAATTATCGCCTTCGAAAGAGCTCTGTCTCGGTCCCTCAGCCTACAGGAACAAGGTTCGCCGGGTACCCGTTGGTATCTCGGTGGCGAAAGATTTCGCGCACCCAGAAGGCTCTTCTGGGAGTTAAGCCGTCCACACAGATAAGCACTAATCGAGTATGTAAGAGCATTTGTCGCATTTCTATTTCAGCGTCCCACATGTCCGCCATGGTGCTGCTGATGCACACCCAAGCACAGGAACCGAAACCGCAGTGCACCTCCTAATCCGCAGCACCGCGGTACAAGAAGCGCTTATGACGCGCTAACACGGCGCTACTGAAGCGCTAACAAAGCGCTACTGGAGCGCTAACAAAGCGCTACTGGAGCGCTAACAAGGCGCTACTGGAGCGCTAACAAGGCGCTACTAAAGCGCTAACCACGCGCTATATTAGAACGAAGTCACGCGCTGGAAGCGCCACATGAGCGCTCCTTGGAGCGCTCACGTAGCGCTAACTTAGCGCTCCGCTGTATGCGTGAACAGGCCTTTAAGCTGAGACAGCAGCCAAAGCTTCAAGCAAGAGTTAGCCCGCGCTCCTGGCTTTGACAAGTACACTTCTAGCGCAAGTGCTCGGTCTGCGGGAGAACCTTTCAAAGCAGAGACCTAGTGGTCTCGTGCTTGTGGCATTGACTGCAGTTACAGGCCCGTTCACACAGACCAGTTTCCTTACGTTACGTTACGAAATCTTAGGTACAAGTCGCCGGGATGTCTGTGCTTCATACGAAGCTTGGCAAGCAGTTCAAGCACTGGCACGCAACATTCGACACACGAATGTTTAAGTGACTGCTACGTTCCTTGAAGAGATTGGGAACCAAAATTTGATTTAAAAAAAAATGCAGGAGATGTAGGCGGGACGCTACAAACTCTACAACAGTACTCGCAAGGCGGTATCTCGAATGGGCGGCCGTATTTTTGGAAAAAGAGGTCGAGATTGAACCAGGCCGACGAGGCGCGTGACGTCAACATATCTCTTTTCCTCCTCTCTTCGCTTCACTCGCTCAAGGCGCCGAGGCGAAGAAGACGTGAGGCCGTTCCCTCTCATTGTCGGAGAAACTTGACGTAAGCATATCTGTCAAATGCGCGTCCTTTTTTTGAAACATACGGTCATCCGTTCGAGATATCGCTGTATGAGTAATGCTTTGGTGCTTGTAGCATCCCGTTGCACGCTTTTGCCACGTGTTTTGTGGAATCCAGATTGCGGTTCAGCATCCCTTTAAGAAAACGTAAGAAAACGGTGTTCCATGTCTAAGAGAGAGGCAGGCAGAGACCAAAATTGTTTCGGAGAAAAAGTCGGCAAGAAGGACGATTGGAGCAATGAGCAGAAAGAACCCGGATACCAGTCAGTCAATGAGTCTGACAAGGGCCAACAGCGGGAACACAGCGAGACACGCCAGAGGCTCTTTTCTTGAGCCATCAGTACCGCTTCCCACTAGCACAGTACCCAGAGCGAAACCACAGTATCTCGACATCTAAGGTGAGAACAGCCGCTCGTTCGAGACTCGAGGCCATGCCCGCTAGTGTTCCGGAGCCGTGCGCGGCGGTTCTTGCTCTCCGAGAGGACGAAATAAGCGCGGCGACCCTCCAGCGGGAGAAGCGCCTCGTCCCGCTAATGGGCCGACACCTGCGGACCTTGGACCCGCGCTGGTCCGAGGCGCGGTCGGCCGCCACATCGGAGCACAAAGAGGCCCCCTGTGAGCGCCGATGGCGGCTCGCCTTTCTGCGGGACGCATCTTATCTCCGAGACCGTATATATGCGCGCACCTATCGGGCCCTGCACCGGTCGCGCTCTTCGACCTAGGGGCGCACCCCGAAGCCTCATTCGCGCGGCCAGAAGAGAAAAACAAGTAGATATAAGAGGAAAA